GAGATCTCTTCCAATCAGGTTATACAGGGCATTAGGGAGGACCAAGAATCGATGCTTGACTACTCCCAAGGCCAAATTTAAAGTCATTTCTGTTGTCCATTTATGTCTCTCTGTGCCATTCGCCCCTTGGACCCAGACTTCCTCTCCAGACAGTTTTCCCATAGGTTTAAGTAATGATGAAAATCGGGCTCCCGTGTCCACCAAAAAATCAATTGATTTTCCCTCCACTTTAATTTTTACCTGAGGTTCGGGAAGGGGCTCCAAACCACGGCCCCTTCAGCCTCTGGTGGCCAGCACTGCCGTCTTCCTTTTGGGGCACTCCCTGGCGCAGTGTCCTTTTCCCTTACAGTAAGCGCACTGACCTGAACCTAAGTCCTCCCGCCTGCCTTCTCTGTGCTTAGGATTTTGCACCCACTGACCATCCCCTCCCTGCCTTCTCCCTTTCCATTGACCTCTTTCCCCCGTCTCCTCCCGCCTCATGGAATGCCAAAACCTTAACCAGTTTTTTGGTCTGTTGTTCATCCTCTTGCGCATCCCTGTTGTGAAACACCTTTTCCGCTATTCCCACTAACTCAGTCAGATTCTTCCCTTCAAACCCTTCACTTCTCTGAAGTTTCCTCCTTATATCTGGGGCTAACTGACTGGCAAAAGCAAGATTCACTGCCCTCTGATTTTCGGTGCCTCAGGGTCGATCGGGCTATCCATTTTATAGGCTTCAATTAGCCTTTCTAGTAAAGCTCCCGGGGACTCATTCTTACCTTGAGTCACCACACTAATTTTTTTAGATAGACTTATGGGTCTCCTTGCAGCTGCACGGAGGCCTCCCAGTAGAGCCTGGCGGTAGAAGCGTAGGCTCTCCTTACCTTCATCGGAGTTTGGATCCCAGTCGGGGCGTTCCCTCGGGCAGTAGTCCTCCATTCGCCGGGGATCGAGGTCCCTGCCAAGTCTCTCACTTATCACGTTATGGGTTTCTCGCATGATGCCATACCTCTCTTCCGCGTTAGAGAGAGCCATAGGGAGCTGTTGAATATCCACCCAGGTGGGCTGGTGGGTAAGAAAGACAGTCTCCAGGAGACCAATTAAACCCTGAGGGTGGACAGAAAAGGATTTGTGTTGGGCCTTCCAGTTATAGATGTCAGAAGAGGAGAAAGGGATATAGGTTAGGTGGGGGCGCCCTCTCCCGTCTAGTAGAGCAACCTCACGGAGAGGCAGCATCGGCACAGATGGAACTGGTGAGGTAGAGGGAGGCAGAGGGGGACAGAGGAAAGGGGAAGGATCAGGGCTGTCTTTCTGTTTGGTGGTCCCATAGGTGGACCCCGACCACGTATGAGGTGGACTAGTAAGACTAGTAAGACTCTTGGTCTTGAGACCAAGAGTCAGGTTTAGGGGACAGATAAGGGGGGGGAATTCCACATCCTCCACATCTGACCGGGGTAGGACGGTCTTCTTCCCTGGCTCCCCCTCACCTCTCTGTTCTGATTTTGGTGATCTAACCTCCCTTAGAGGGAGAGAGATGGATTCGTTAGCAGGGGGGAGGTGAGACTTGAGCCATGACGGTGGCTCTTCTATCAGATATCGCCAGGCCACGATGTACGGTATTTGGTCTCGATGGAGATCGAAGACCTTACTCTGGGTAGAGTAGATCTGAGCCAAGGCAAACGTTCCTTCCGGCAGGCCACCCTGTGGAGAAAATGGGCCACTCTAATTGGCAGAGTGTTTTTAGTTTTCCTGGGTAAACCTTGTCACCTGACTCGGTGGCTTTACCTTGAAAATCCTTGCAATGCTAGAGAACAAGACTTAGGGGTGTCACAGGTCCCTTACTCCCCGCTTTCCCCACATTTCCAAACACAATCAACTACACAACAGACAACAAAAAGACAAGACAAAGACAACCGCAGGTCCAGCCATCCTCATCCAGAGCCTGCTGCTGGTGGGGACTTTCTCGGTCCCCTGCAAACACAACAAACAACACAACAGGCAACAAAAGGACAAGACAAAGCCAACCACAGGCCCCGTGGTCCTTACCCAGAACCTGCCACCGATGGGGACTTTCTTGATCTCCTGACCGCCTAGGGGGACTCGAACCCCCTGATCGCCCAGGGGGACTCGACCCCCCTGATGATCTACCAGTGGAGGAATGGGGCGTCCCCACATCCACTCCACCCCTGGGGAGCATTGCTGAATCCAGCTTTTCCCCGTAGGGCTGTACGCTGGAGCTCCACAACCAGACAGACAGACAGGATCCCGAGATCTTACCCCCGGAGGCTTTTCCCAGAAATTCTGATGCTGGCTCAGTTCTCGTGGTTTGATCCCAGATGAGCCCCCAATGACAGGTCCCCCAATAATGGGTCCGTGATCAAAGGAGCGAGACTGTTACAAAGTGAAGGTCAAGCAAAGCTTTATTTCGCGCCAAACATCAAGAATCAAACCGACTGGTCGCGGCTGTCTCTTACAAAGAGGCGACCCCTCCCAGCCTCACAGACTAACTTTTATAGAGCAAAGGCCATGCGGTTGAGCCTGGCCACACACAGATGGCCAATGAGATTGCAACACATAGAGAAAACTGCACAGTCATGTTAGGTCACACACGGGTGGCCAATTGAATTTCAATTTACCCTAGTAGATATTTGAACTGGCCTATCATGTTGGTCAGAATTGGCATAAGGCGGGGCCCACTCTTCTTGGTAGCTAGGGAGACAGTATGTGGGCCCCACTGATTGGATGTCTCCACCTGGCCTGACCCACCCTTGTATCTGGGCTTTGCTACCTGGGACTGGTTTCCTGGACATGCTTTTAAGTAAGTTCCTCTAGGAGGGGCAGGGGCAATCTAAGTTTACTGCATAAACAACAAAATGGCTCCCTCTGGCTAAGTAGGCCCTTACAATAAGGTAGTGACTTGTTTATAACTTTCCCCCACAGCTCTCGAATTATGGATCCACTTTACATTTTCCTGTTAATTCCTATCAACTTAACATAAGTGTCCTCATACATCTTTTTTATTTCCTCAGTTGAAATCTTAAGCCAGTTGTCTTTATTTATTTTTTTTCTTTCTTTAACATATTGGTGGGTTTCTATTCCTGGTCTTTTGAAATCCTTATCCTCCACCTTTCTCCCGGATGGGAGCACACGCTGCTCGCTCCCGGGTGGGGGTCGCGGATGCGTCTCCAGATGACCCGCGCTCCCCAGACGCACGGACACCTACGGGCCACGGAGCCTTCTGGGAAATGTAGTTCAAAGGCAACTTCCTGCCGTTAAGCTGATCCAAAAAAAAAAAAAAAAAAAGAAAGAAAAAAGAAAAAAATGAAGGCGTCTTTCTCTCGCGCACGCGTACTCCACTCGCAGGGCCCCTGACGCTTTCGGGTTGCGCCCCTTCTTTGTCCTTGGCCGCCCAGAGAGAGGCGAGTGTGGGCGTCTCTGCGCGCGCGCCCGCATGTCCGTGCGCGCGCCCCCCGGCTCCGCAGCAGTCCCGCCAGGATCCCGCCGACCCAGGGGCACTGCACGAGGCCCGCGGGCCACGGCGACGTTCAGTCCGGGGGTGCTGGCAGGCCGGGGGCGGGGCGGCGGCGAGTCTGGGGGTGCTGGGGCGGGTCACGTGGTGCCTGGGCCTGCGCGTCCGCCGAGGGAGTCCAGGGGGTCGGTGTCGGCGTTCGCCGGTGTTCGGGGGCGAGTTTCCTCCGGGCGGGTGGGAGGCGTGCGGGGGGGGGGGGGGGGGGCGGGGGGGGGGGGCCGGGGGGTCGTGTGTGGCCTGCAGGCTTGGAGGCCTGTGGGCGCTGGCGCGTGGGCCGGCGGGGATTCCTCGTTCGGGGCCGCGCGGCGGGGCGCGGGATGAGTGAGGGGCCGCGGGGTCCCTGCCGTGCCGGGGATGCTCGCGTTCGTGGGTCAGGCCTTAAAGAGCGCCCCCGCCGGGCATCCATGGCTCTCCCGGGCCGGGAGCCCGCAGCACGTGCGCCCCGCAGGGCTGGGACACCCCCCCCCTCCCGCACCGGGGTGGGTAGAGGGTCTGAGGTCGCTGGGACCCCTCTACCTCCACCCATACCCCTGGCTGTGCAGAGGGTCTGGCGTCTCTGGAACCTCCTGCCCTCCCGCCCCTCCCCCTGCCCTGGCTTTCCAGAGGGTCAGGGCTCCTGCTGTCAGGGTGATTTACCTGCTGGGCCTCCCGTCCCCCACTCCAGTTCGGCTTCACCAGGCTGGCTCTGCCTCTTATCTGTAGAGTTGGTTTTTTTAATTTGTTATTATTTTTTATTTTTTTATGTAGATTTTTTTTTTTAAGATTTTATTTATTTATTTATTTGACAGATAGAGATCACAAGTAGGCAGAGAGGCAGGCAGAGAGAGAGGGAAGCAGGCTCCCCGCCCAGCAGAGAGCCCGACTTGGGGCTCCATCCCAGGACCCCGGGACCATGACCGGAGCCCAAAGCAGAGGCCCCAATCCACTGAGCCACCCAGGCGCCCCTGTAGATTTGTTTTTAAAGGCTTCTCTACTAAAACAAAAAACCCAAAGCCCGAGGAAAAAAAAACCCAAGTAGTTTTCGGCAGCAGCTGGTTGCTGAGTCTTCAAGTTCTCTCTCTGCTTGTGGGCCACCTCTGCCATTTTGGACCCTCCACTCATGGTTTCTGGGTCTCACGTTTATCTCCTGAAAATGAGGGAGTGCCAGGAAAGGATTTCTTTCTTTTTTCCTTCCTTCCTTCCTTCTTTCCTTTCTTTCTCTCAGTTCTGGTGCTTTTTGCTGTCATTAACACTTGTAGTTATTTTAATTATTTGTTGTTTGTTTCAACTGTGTGGTGGTGAACTGAACTGTGTTCTTGGGTTAAGCGCTTTACATTTAAAAAGATAATGTTCATACTTTTTTCTAAGTTTTTTTTATAAGTAAGCCATTTTTTTATTTTTTAAAGATTTTTATTTATGTGACAGAGAGAGAGATCACAAGTAGACAGGGAGGCAGGCAGAGGGTAAAGCAGGCTCCCTGCTGAGCAGAGATCATGACCCAAGCTGAAGGCAGAGGCTTAACCCACTGAGCCACCCAGGCGCCCCTTTTATGAATTTAAAATGTGTTCGTTGTCAGTTTGGAGCGACTAGATAAATAGACTCAAATGAAAACCTTTCATGATCCCATCAACAGGAGACAGTCACTGTTAATGTTTTGATAAACTTCTTGTAGTCAGTTGATGTATGTATAATTTTAGTACATCTTATTTATATTTCTTTAACAAAGCAAAATTGGGAGTATGCTGTTTGAAGCCATTAGGTTATATTACTGGTATCTTTTGTTAAGGTAGACTGTTTTGTTACGTGGGGGGAGTTTTTTCAGCTGGCCCCTGAGAACTTATCTTCCTTTTGTTTTGTTTGTTTTTGGTTTGTTTTTAGATGGGCTCTACATCCAGTGTGGAGCCCAATGTGAGGCCTGAATCCATGACCCTGAGATCCAGACCTGAGCCGAGAGCGGGAGTCGGGCACTTACTTAATCAGCTGAGCCATCCAAGTGCCCTCCTTTCTTTTGTTTTTATCCTTAGTTTGCCGTGGTGGCGTTATTTCTGGACAGGGGACTGAATGGCGCCAGTGTTGAAATGAGGCCTTTGCCCACCCTCACCCCCCACTTTTGTTGAGGGGCTGTGACTGCAGGCCTTCGGGGACACCGAGTGGGGCCAGTGGGCTGGATCTGCCACTTCATAGGTATGTCATCGATGTTGGGCAAGTTGCTTAACCTCTGAGCCTTAGGACTTTCTGTAATGGGTACTGGATGCATTAAGAAAAAAACCCCAAACAGGGTGACTGGCTGGCTCAGTGGGTTAAGCATCTGCCTTCCACTCAGGTCATGATTTCAGGGTCCTGGGACCGAGCCCCCTGTTGGACTCCTGCTCGTCGGGAAGTCTCCTTCTCCCTCTCCCGCTCCCCCTGCTTGTGTTCCTTCTCTCTTTGTCTCTCTCTGTCAAATAAATAATCATTAAAAAAACAACAAACAGTATGATGTATAATACATCTGTCATAGTAAGTAATAAATGTTATTTTTTATTATTCTCTACCTTCCCCCTGAAGTTCCTTCAGAACCTGATGCTAAGTGGAACTACGCGATGGTGACGATTGTCCCTTTGTTCTGGAGACACACGTGAGAGCTGTCACAGAGAGAGCTGCGTGGTACGCAGGAAGCTGCCAAGGTATACAACACTAGCAGACTGGTTAAATTGGGCCAGTTGTGCAGAGAAGGGTTTAGGATTCTGTTTGCCGAGAGGACACGTGGGAGCTATATAAAACAGCTCAGGAAAAACTTGTCAAAACTTTCAATTTTCAGAAATGTATTTGTTTAAATTCAGAGTGAGGTTGAGTCTACATTTTTCTGAGTAACAAATGTCATTAGAAATAATACCACCACACTGAGGGCTTGTCACACTTGTTCACTTGAAATTCTCAGCTCCATGTGTTTTGTATAACAAGTCTACACCTGGTTTTTTTCCTTTGAGAGGGAGTGGGGAAGGGACAGGGGGAGAAGGAGAGAGAGAGACTCAAGCAGACTCCCCACTGAGCATGCCTAACGCAGGGCTCAATCCCAGGATCCCAAGATTGTGACCTGAGCTGAGGCAAGAGTTGGATGCTTAACTCACTGCCCCCGCAGGTGCCCCCTAAGTCCACGTCATTTTGATCTGATGAGTTTTCTACTCTTGGTAAGTTTTCGTTGAAACCTAAGTAAACTTCACCGAGTAGCCTTTGACAACAATTACAAAGGAAATTTTATTTTTATTTTTTATTTTTTTAAAAGATTTTATTTATTTGACAGAGAGAGATCACAAGTAAGCAGAGAGGCAGGCAGAGAGAGAGAGAGGAGGAAGCAGGCTCCCCGCCGAGCAGAGAGCCCGATGCGGGGCTCTATCCTAGGACCCTGGGATCATGACCTGAGCTGAATGCAGAGGCTTAACCCACTGAGCCACCCAGGTGCCCCACAAAGGAAATTTTAAAATGACACTGTGAATTTAAGGAAATGGTTTACATGATAAACATAGTTTTATTTGTCACGGTGCCAGAATGTTTATTACGTGAAATGAAGTGAAAGTATAATGCAAAGCAAATGACATTTGTTGTCATTATATTTTCCTGGTTTGCGGTGTGTGTATACAGGGGGCGGTTGTGTGGATTTCACTTTTTTTTTCCGACCACACAAAGGTTTTTCCTTTTTTTTTTTTTTAAGATTTTATTTATTTATTTGATAGAGATCACAAGTAGGCAGAGAGGCAGGCAGAGAGAGAGGAGGAAGCAGGCTCCCCACCAGGCAGAGAGTCCGACACGGGGCTCAATCCCAGGACCCTGAGATCATGACCTGAGCCGAAGGCAGAGGCTTAATCCACTTAGCCACCCAGGTGCCCCAACTTTTTTTTTTTAAGATTTTTAAAAATTTTTATTTATTTGACAGACATCACAAGTAGGCAGAGAGGCAGGCAGAGAGAGAGCGGGAGGCAGGCTCCCTGCTGAGCAGAGAGCCTGATGCAGGGCTGGATCCCAGGACCCTGGGATCATTGTAACCCACTGAGCCACCCAGATGCCCCTACATATTTTAATAGTTTAATTTATTGACTGTTTTTCTTTTAATTATGGTTCTTGCCTTTGCATTATGTATAGGGAAATTTCCCCCCAAATTACACAAATACTGTGGGGGTTTTTTTTTTAAGACTTTTTTCACATTTAAAAAAAATATTTTATTTATTTATTTGAAAGAGTACAAGCAGGGAGAGCAGCGAGGGAGAGGGAGAAGCAGACGCCCCACCAAGCAGGAAGCTTGCTGCAGGACTCCATCCCAGGACCCTGGGATCATGACCTGAGCCCAAGGCAGATGTACAACTGACTGAGCCACCCAGGCGCACTCCCCCACCCCTTTTTAATTAACATATAATGTATTATTTGTGTCAGGGGTACAGGTCTGTGATTCATCAGTCTTTTTTTTTTAAGATTTTATTTATTTATTTGACAGACAGAGATCACAAGTAGGCAGAGAGGCAGGCAGAGAGAGAGGAGGAAGCAGGCTCCCTGCTGAGCAGAGAGCCTGATGCGGAGATTGACCCAGGACCCCGAGATCATGACCCGAGCCGAAGGCTGAGGCTTTAACCCACTGAGCCACCCAGGCGACCTTGATTCATCAGTCTTAACACCCAGCGGTCCCCAAAACACATACCCTCTTCTGTGTCCATCCCCCAGCCACCCTATCCCTCATACCCCCCTCCCCTCCAGCAACCCTCAGTTTGTTTGCTGACATTAAGAGTTTCTTGTGGTTTGTCTCCCTTTTTGGTTTCGTCCTGTTTCATTTTTTTCTCTCTTCCTCTATGATCCTCTGTCTTGTTTCTCAGATTTTACATATCAGTGAGATCACATGATAATTGTCTTTCTCTGATTGACGTAATTTCACTTAGCATAATACATGTCATTGCAAATGGCAAGATTTCATGGGTTTTTTTGATGGCTGCATAGTATTCCATTGTGTATATATACTACATCTTCTTTACCCATTCATCTGCTGATGGACATCTAGGTTCTTTCCATAGATTGGCTATTGTGGACATTGCTGCTATAAACATCAGGGTGTCTCACTTCTGTTTTCTTTTCTTTTCTTTTTTTTTTTTTAAGATTTATTTATTTATTTATTTGACAGATCACAAGCAGGCAGAGAGGCAGGCAGAGAGAGAGAGAGAGAGAGAGGGAAGCAGGCTCCCTGCTGAACAGAGAGCCCGATGCGGGGCTCGATCCCAGGACCCTGAGACCATGACCTGAGCTGAAAGCAGAGGCTTTAACCCACTGAGCCACCCAGGCGCCCTCACTTCTGTTTTCTTTTTTTTTTTTTTTTTAAAGATTTTTATTTATTTATTTGACAGAGATCACAAGCAGGCAGAGAGAGAGGAAGGGAAACAGGCTCCCCGCTGAGCAGAGAGCCCCATGCGGGGCTCGATCCCAGGACCCCGGGATCACGACCCGAGCTGAAGGCAGAGGCTTAAACCACTGAGCCAACCAGGTGCCCCACTTCTGTTTTCTTAAGGCATCGTTGTAGTTTAAATGAAAATCCATATGGAATTATTTTGTTGTAATGTGAGAGACAAAATTAGCCTTATTTTCTTTTAAATGTTAATCACTTCTGTTCATTAAACAAGCCAGTTTTACTCATGGCTTTGAAATGCCACATTTGGGGTGCCTGGGGTCTCTGTCCATTAAGTGTCTGCTTTCGGCTCAGGTCTTCATCCCAGGGTCCCGGGACTGAGTCCTGCATCAGGCTTCCCGCTTGGGGGAAGTCTGCTTCTCCCTCTCCCTCTGCCCCTCCCCCTGCTCGTGTGCACTGTCTCAAATAAATAATATCTTAAAAAAAAAAAAAAGAAATGCCACATTTATTGTCTGTTAAATTTCTACATATTTGAGCTGTAATGCTTCATGCATCTGCATGTCTTATCAGACAGTGTCAAAAGTTTTTAATTATTTGTACCCGTTAATATTATGTGGACCTGTTCACATTCATTATTTTGTAATTTTTAAAAAAGATTTATGTTATTTGGGAGTGTGCATGTGTCTTGGGGGAGGGGAAGAGGGAGACTCTTCCAGCAGACTCCCTGCTGAGTGCAGAGCAGAGCCTGACTCTTGAGATCACAGCCTGAGCCAAAATGAAGAGACAGTCGCTTAATCAAGTAAGCCGCCCAGGTGCCCCAGTTACTGTGTATTTCTAAAAGTGTCCAAGCTCCTCCTGAACATCTTTCTTCCAGATGAACTTTAGAATTGCTTCTTAAAGAAAACCTTTTTGAGATTATGGTTGGAGTCAACTAAAGATATAAATAATTTGGGGCTAAATTACTTCACTGGGAAGTCTTCCTATCCCAGAGCAAGACAGATTGTGCATGTATGAAGCCTCTTTCTATAGTCCCCATTGGTTGTTTCAGTTTCTTTCCAATGGGTCTTACATGTTTCTTGTCCGAAGGTAGTCGTACATAAATTCTGTTTTTTTTTTTCTTTTCTTTTTTTAAGATTTTATTTATTTGACACAGAGAGATCACAAGTAGGCAGAGGGAGAGGGGGAAGCAGGCTCCTTGCTCAGCACAGATCATGACCTGAGCCAAAGGCAGGGGCTTAACCCACTGAACCACCCAGGTACCCCTGTGGTTTTTCTTTGAGAGTAGATTTTATTTCCCATATACATTTTTGCTAAAAATATCCAAACAGAGGGCACCTGGGTGGCTCAGTCGTTAAGCGTCTGCCTTCTGCTCAGGTCATGATCCCTGGGTCCTGGGATCAAGCTCTGCATCAGGTTCCATGCTCAGTGGGGAGCCTGCTTCTCCTTCTCCCACTCCCCCTGCTTGTGTTCTCTCTCACTGTGTCTCTCTCTGTCAAATAAATAAATAAATAGATGCAAACAGTTTCCCTATCCCTTAAGATTGGTTGTCTGGGTGTTGTAATGGAGGTCATAGTTTCCTACTTGGCTTGTTGTATATGTTGCTGAATTTGGCCATCATGTCTCACTGCTGCAGTCATAATTAGGGCTAATACCTGCGTAGTGCTCACGTGTCAGCTTCTAAGATACGTGTATTTTCACTATCTAAAGGCATTGTTTCCCGTGTAACTCGGAGAAACCTCAGTTAGTGTTTCTGAGCTGGTGCTGAAGTTTGAATCGCAGAAAGACATGAAAGGGAAGAAGTGCTTGTTCCTTTAGGTGGTGTCTGTTAGTATGATTTGGGGGCAGCCGGCTGCTCGTGTGTGTTCCTGTGGAAACGTGGTGGCCGGACGTGTGCCCGGAGATGAGCGCTAACTCGAGAATGTACGGCGTGTATCTGTGCAAACACGCACGTGCCGTGCTTCGAGCAGGGAGCGCCTTAAGCGCAGGACGGAGGAGACGTAATGCTGCGGCCCTGCTGCTCGGCCACCGTGAGTCCCTTCGAAGACCATGCGCGTTCCGTAACCCGGAGGTTCTGTTAAATGCCTCCTCGGCTTGTCTGTGAGGGTCAAATTATAAAGTGCTCAGAGAGAATTCACATGTTGTCCTTTGTTACTACAAGGAATACTCACTTTCCATTTATTATTTCATTTCTTCCTCAGAGTCCCACTGTTAAGTGGACCCAAAGGTCCACTTTATCCTCACAATTTTAACAAGTAAAAAAATGAGGCTTAAAAGCTAAGAAAGGAGCATTTGGCATAAGGAGGGCCATTACACCATGATTAAAGCATAATCTTCCAGAAATATACAACCTCCGTATGTCGAACAATATGTCTTTAAACATTGAATGCAAATATTAATATGATTACAAGGTAAAATTTACCAATCTGTAATCTCATTGGGAGATGTAACATGCTTCCATCAGAAGTTGCTAGAACTGGCTGATGTAAATTGAGGGGGTTGTGGAAGACTTTCTCTGCCTGGTAAAGATGGAGGTTTGTCTGGTTTTGCCCAAAGCCATGTAGCCAGTGGTGGGAACAGTTGGTTGAAATTCTAGTCTTTTTTTTTTTTTTTTAAGATTTTATTTATTTATTTATTTGAGAGGGAGAGAGAGATCACAAGTAGGCAGAGAGGCAGGCAGAGGGGGAGGGGGAAGCAGGCTCCCCACTGAACAGAGAGCCCGATGCGGGGCTCGATCCCAGGACCCGATTCCAGGACCATCATGACCCGAGCTGAAGGCAGAGGCCCAACCCACTGAGCCACACAGGCACCCCTCAAGTCTGTTTTAATACAAATCACTTAAGCTCTCCAAATTCTCATCTGTCTGAAATAGAGTTGTACTTCTTTACACCTGTGAGAGCAGTTGATGCCGCAGTGTCCGGAGTGAGCAGTGAGTGGTTAGCAGAAGTTCTTTACGTCTGGTATTTCTGGATCTGGCTGTCACAGCTTTCCGTTCTTCTGCACCATATCCTGTTCTTACCCTGGGTAGCCCCGTGTCCATCACTCAGAACCGCATATGATCATGAACGCCAGGTTCCTAGCAAGCGGGGAAGAGATCGTAGGTGCAGCCTGAGTCTATGCCTCAGAGTGCATCGTTTCTAAGTCCGCAGATCCCGGTCACCCACAGGAAGGCCTGCCCATGCGGTGTGAGGAAGGAGCTCCTGCAGCCAGGATCCCGCTCCCGGTGTGAGAGGCGCAGCCACGGCCTGGCGGAGTTCGGGGCCAGAGCCGAAGAGGCTCAGGGTGCAGCAGGGCTCAGAGCTACTCATCTCGCAACAGAAAATGACCATGTTACAGGTGAGGTGATTGCTGCTTTGATTTCCAGGGGACTGGAAGGGGTGGCTCTGTCTTCTAGGGAAATAAGTGTAAGTAGTCGAGAGGTCATGGGAAAAGAGCCTCAGCGTAGAAGACCTGGGTTGGGGTAGAACTAGAGCAGTGGTGGGGTCAGGGGCGCAGGCTTCCTGCACGGGGAAAAGCCATGTGTAACTTTCGACCCCCAAAACCTTCACTCACAGCCCACTGTTGACCGGAAGCCTTACCAGTGACGGGTGATTAATACCTGTTTTGTATGTGTATTATATACTGTGTTTTATGATAAAGTTAGAGAAAAGAAAATGTTATTAAAATCAAAGGGAAGAAAAAATACATTTATAGTACTATAATTGTATAGAAAAAATTCACACGTGACTGGACCTGCCCAGTGCACACCTGTGGTGTTCAAAGGCCAACTTTTTTTTTTAGATTTTATTTATTTATTTGAGAGAGAACACAAGCAGGGGGAGCGGCAGAGGCAGAGGGAGAAGCAGGCTTCCCACTGAGCAGGGAGCCCAGTGCGGGGCTTGATCCCAGCACCCTGGGATCATGACCTGAGCGGAAGGCAGACGCTTATCCGACTGAGCCACCCAGGCGCCCTTTCAAGGGGCAACTTTATTAACAATAGGACCTTGAGAAGGTCTTATGATTTGAATTTTTTGTTTTGTTAGGGAGAGAATGTGGAGGGGGGGCGCATGAGGAGGTGGAGGAAGGACAGACAGAAGAGGAAACCTTTCTCTCTTTATTTTTTAACAATTTTTTATCTTCTTTTTAACATATAATGTATTATTAGCCCCAGGGGTACAGGTCTGTGAATTGCCAGGTTTACAGAGGAGAGGAGGAAATCTTTTTTTTTTTTTTTAAATAAATATTTATTTATTTATTTACTTGACAGACAGAGAGATCACAAGTAGGCAGAGAGGCAGGCAGAGAGAGGAAGAAGCAGGCTCCTCGCTGAGCCGAGAGCCCGATATGGGGCTCGATCCCAGGACCCTGGGATCATGACCTGAGCCGAAGGCAGAGGCTTAACCCACTGAGCCACCCAGGTGCCCCGGAGAGGAGGAAATCTTAAACAGATTCCACACCCAGTGCAGAGCCCAGCAGGCTCGATAGCACAACCCTGAGATCATGACCTGAGCCAGAATCAAGGGTCAGATGCTTCGTGGACTGAGCCACCCAGGCACCCCCTGAATTTTTATAAACCATAGTGTCCTACATAATTAATGAATTTGAGCTGCAAACTTGGTTTTCTAATTTTTAGCTGTTGTAATAAAGAAATAAGAATATTTCTGTGGGTTGCATTATCCAAAGGTAAAAGTAAATTAGTTCTTCATAGAAAGTAAATATTTCTTGGTCATGCTTTGATGAAATCTTTGAATAAATGATATAGTGTGCGTAATGTCCTCAGAGAAACGTGGTAAATCCATGGGTATTACAGTCATTTTTCCTAGTTTTCCACAGAATGTCACCCAAGAGGAAAATACCTAAGCACTTAGTAATCATAATTATGTATTTAAGTACCTCTTTAATTGTGAAGCAGAATTCACATATGGAAAAATACCTAAAATGTAAAAGTACAGTTCAGTGAATTATTACCAAGTGCATATGCATGAAGCCACCATTCAGGTCAAGAAGTAGAACATTCCGGGACGCCTGGGTGGCTCAGTTGGCTAAGCTGCTGCCTTCGGCTCGGCTCATGATCCCAGGGTCCTGAGATCGAGTCCTGCATCGGGCTCCTTGCTTGGTGGGGAGCCTGCTTCTCTCGCTGCCTCTCCCTGCCACTCTGCCTGATTGTGTGTGCTCTCTCTCTAACTCTCTTCTGACAAATAAGTAAAATTAAAAAAAAAAAAAGAAGAAGAAGAAGAAGTAGAACATTCCCAGCCCAGATGAGGCCCTTTCTGTGCCAATCACAGCCTCTTCCTCCTCACACAGAACTGGGACCCTGACTTTTGTTGTAACCATTTCTGTCCTTCTCTTTCTAGTGTTCCTTTAACACTGCAGTTTGGTGTCGTCTGCTGTAGTGTATAGTAATTTGTGTTTTGTTTCTTTCACTTAACACTTTGTTTATGAGGTTAATTGCAAGTGCATCCCGCTGTCCAGTGAAGGCAGCTTCCTAATATCATCAGAGTCAGTGTTCAAAATTCCAGTTGTCTTATAAAACCGCAAATCGTTTGAAGTTTGTTTGGATCAGAATCTGGGTAAAGTTAATACAGTGTAATTGGTTGATCTGCTCTCTTAAGACCCTCTTAACCTATTGGGTCTTTTTTCCTAGCCCGTTTTTTTCTTGTTTTGTTTTTGTTTTTGTTTTTAAATTTACTTGACAGAGATCACAAGTAGAGAGGCAGGCAGAGAGAGAGGAGGAAGCAGGCTCCCTGCCTAGCAGAGAGCCTGATGCGGGGCTCTATCCCAGGACCCTGAGACCATGACCCCAGCTGAAGGCAGAGGCCTTAACCCGCTGAGCCACCCAGGCGCCCCCATTTTTTTTTTTAAGATTTTTATTTATTTATTTGACAGATAGATATTACAAGTAGGCAGAGAGGGAAGCAGAGAGAGAGGAGGAAGCAGGCTCCCTGCTGAGCAGAGAGCCCGATGCGGGGCTCGATCCCAGGACCCCGGGATCATGACCTGAGCCAAAGGCAGAGGCTTTAACCCACTGAGCCACCCAGGCGACCCCCCCCCCCATTTTTTTTTTTAAGATGTTATTTATTTGAGAGAGAGAGAGCATGAGTGCCTGAGCTGGGAAGAGGGGCAGAGGGAGAGGGAGAAGCGGACTCGCCCCTTAGCAAAGAGCCCAGGGACTCGATCCCAGGACTCCAGGATCATGCCCTGAGCTGAAGGCAGATGCTTCACTGACACCCAGGCACCCCTCCTCACCACATTTTTGGCGGAAGAGGCCAGGTGGTCTATTCTGTGGATTTCCCACTGTCCGAGTTTTGTTAGTGTTGCTGGTGTGTTCTGTAGAGCTGTGCTGTCCAGTACAGAAGCCACTGGCCACATCAGCTAATTCAATTTAAAATGATTAAATCTAGGGGCGCCTGGGTGGGTCAGTAGGTGAAGTGTCTGCCTTCAGCTCTGGTCATGATCTGAGGGTCCTGGGATCGAGCCCCGCATCAGCTCCTTGCCTGGCAGGGTTCCTGACTCTTCCTCTGCTGCTCCCCCTGCTGTGCTTTCTCTCTCTCTCTCTGACAAATAAATAGAATCTAAATAACATAAAATGAATAAAATAAATAGAATAAAATAAAATAAAATGATTAGATTTAGCCCCAAGTCACACTAGCCACATTTCAAGTGCTCAGAAGCTGTGAATTAGCACAGGTAAAGGGCGTCTCCATCTTCACAGATCTGATCTGGAGGCTTGATCACATTCAGGTGTCGTTTTTTTGGCAAGAGTATTTCAGAGGTTTTGGTACATACTTTCAGGAAGCAGCTCTTGTCTGCTAGCACTTGTCTGTGGTTGTTGCCTTGATGGATTATTTCCATAGTGGCTACTAAATGATACCCTGCATTGACCTCCTCTTTTTCTTCCACTTCTTCTTCTTCTTTTTTTTTTTTTAAGATTTTATTTATTTGACAGACAGCGAGAGATCGCAAGTAGGCAGAGAGGCGGGCAGGCGGGTGGTGGGGAGCAGGAAGCAGGCTCCCTGCTGAGTAGAAAGCCTGATGTGGGGTTGGATCCCAGGACCCTGAGATCATGACCTGAGCCGAGGGCAGAGGCTTAACCCACTGAGCCTGAGCCAAAGGCAGAGGCTTAACCCACTGAGCCACCCAGGCGCCCTTTCTTCCACTTCTTTGTTCATACAGTTATTTACTTACTTTTAAACGATTTTATTTAGGGGTGCCTGGGTGGCTCAGCAGATTAAAGCCTCTGCCTTCGGCTCAGGTCATGATCCCAGAGTCCTGGGATGGAGCCAGGCATTGGGCTCTCTGCTTAGCAGGGAGCCTGCTTCCTCCTCTCTCTGCCTGCCTCTCTGCCTACTTGTGATCCCTGTCTGTCAAATAAATAAATAAATAAAATCTTAAAAAAAAAAGATTTTATTTACTTATTTGTCAGAGAGAGAGAGAGAGAGCGCGCACCAGCAGTGGGAGCAGCAGAGGGAGAGGGAGAGGCAGGCCCCCCCTGAGCAGGGAACCCAATGCGGGGCTCGATCCCAGAACCCTGAGATCATGACCTTAGCTGAAGGCAGATGCTTAACCCACTGAGCCACCCAGGCGCCCCTTCCTTTTGAAAATTTAATAAGCTTTTTTTAACAACTTAGTTCAATTTTTTTCTATTGTGCTTTTTTGTATGTTCTCTTAATTAGTAAATACGCTTTATCTGCATCTTTCAAGGTGATCACATATCTCTTCTTAATTTAATTTGTTAGTGTAGTGAATATCTTTATTTTTTTATTTTTAATGTTAAACCAACCTTTAATTTCTGAATATACCAACTCAGTCTTGATGTATTTTCTTCCGTATATATTGTTCCGCTTAGCGTGGTAACATGTTGGTTAGGATTTTCACAACAGTGTTCATCTGTAATTTGGCCTTTGCTTTTCCTTCCTTGCAATATTCTTACTGAGTTTTGTTATCAAGGTTATGCTTGTATCAAAATGTTTAGTGTTGTGTTCTTGCTTCCATATTCCGTAGTTGTTTAGTAAAATAGGAATTCTGCATAAAAGTCTACAGAATTAACTAGTAAAGCTGTTGTTTTGTGAGGAGATTTTATGTTGGAGATTCTTTTTTTTTTTAAGCTTTTATTTTTTTATTTATTTGTCAGAGAGACAGAGAGAGTACAGGCAGGCAGAGAGGCAGACAGAGGCAGAGGGAGAAGCAGGCTCCCCACAGAGCAAGGAGCCTGATGTAGGACTCAGTCCAGGACCCTGAGATCATGACCTGAGCCGAAGGCAGACGCTTAACCCTCTTAGCCACCCAGGTGCCCTTATGTTACAGTTATTCTCATTACACAGTTACTCCCGGATGAATATTGACATTGGCTACAGAATCCTTCCTTTCAGCACTTTTAAAATGTTCTTTCTACTGGCCTCTGTGCCTTTGAGTAAGACGTCTGCAGCCCATTGAACTGCTCCCTGTGAGAGTCATGTGACTCCTCCTTTGTCTGTATTCCCTAGCAGTTGGGTTGTGATGTGTTTGGTTGGCTCTCTTCATGTCTGTCCAGTTGGGGTCCAGCCCGTCTCCTGAGTCTGCCACCTTATGCCTTTTGCCACATTTGGGGAGCATGGAGCTGTCACTTGTTCTGTCTGCCACGCTCCTGCTTTTCTTTTCCTGGGACTCCTGAGACGCATTTGGTGTTGTCTGGCCCTGTCCTGAGCCCTGAGTGTCTGAAGCTCATTTTTAAGTCTTCTTTTCTCTCAGTTACTCAAAATGGATACTTTTATTGACTGGCTTCAGGTTTGCTGGCCCTTGTCAAAGTGTGTGATGTCCTGTTTAGGTGAGGTTTTGTATTTTATGATGGTATTCTGCGTTTTTTAGTTTTCTGGTCATCTCAGGAGGCTTTGGGACAGAAATCCATCATGACATAAAATCCAGAAATCTTTCTGAGACCTAGATTTGGTTATGTCACTCCTATTCCGTGAGTCATGGCTGGCTGTTGGCAACAAGAGCGTGTCTAGCTCAGGGGCTCCTGGGTGGCTCAGTCGGCTGGGCATCTGACTCTTGATTTCAGCTCAGGTTATGATCTCAGGGTCGTGGGATCGAGCCCCATGTGAGGCCTGTGCTCAGTGGGGAGTCTGGTTGAGATTCTGTCTCCTCTGCCCTTCCCCCAAATAAATCTTAAATTAAAAAAAGAAAGAAAAAGTGTCTAGGTTGGTTAATTCCAGTTAGCCCCACCTCCCACGTGGCCTTTACTCAAATCCCTACCTCACACTCTCTGATGTTGTCTAACTGAACCACTTGTACCTCCTGAATTCCAGCAGTTTTGGGGTCTCATTGGAGCTATTGGCTCCCAGTATGCCTTTGCATGCCCATTTTTTTTTAAGATTTTTTTTTTTATTTGAGAAAGAGCGGGAGCATGAGCGGGGGGCGGGCAGAGGGAGTGGGAGAAACGGGCTCCTTGCTGAGCAGCGAGTTGGACGTGGGGCTCGATCCTGGGGATCATGACCTGAGCTGATGGTAGACCCTTAACTGACTGAGCTACTCAGGTGCCCTGCATCCCCATTTTGTGGGAAGTACTGCTAATTACCTAAAACTCATCTCAAGCTTTGCCTCTTGGAAAGAGCCTCAGTTGACGCTCAGACTGATGCTCTCGCTCTGACCCGTGTTGTGCCCTCCGTTCATTTCTGCCTCTGCTATTACAGTAGCCTGTTGTAGGAACAGGGGTGCAGGTTTGCAGCCCTCTGCGAGGCTGTGCAGCTTTTTAAGCTGTTTTACTCTCTTCCTTTTGGTGCCGCTTCTCCGGTGCCGCAGCTCTGGTGCGGTACACGTTTTGTTGGTGGTTCAGAAGATGTAAAGTTGGGAGCTCCAGTTGTCAGGCATCCTATGAACAGAGGGATGGAAGGGTGCATCGTGGCATTTTCTCCCAGAGACGTGATGCGAAGGGGTCACGGTCGTCATTCTCTGTGGCTTGCTGTGATGGAATGATGTGTGCACGTCACGCAGCGGCCCTTGCTGCAGGTTCACCGGGGCTGTGCTCTTACAGGAGGCGCTCTCATTTGAAGATTTATCTGTGGACTTCACCCAGAAGGAATGGCAGCTCCTGGACCCCAGTCAGAAGGACCTGTACAAGGATGTCATGTTGGAGAACTACAGCAGCCTCGTGTCCCTGGGTAAGGCAGCTCCCTGACGACCTCCTGGCAGGCCCAGCACCTCACTTTGTGAGTTGCCAGGAGCTCTGCAGCTTCTGAAATCTCTAGTGGTTTTGGACCTGAATTTAGGAGATTGAAAGTTCCCTGCGCTGTGACACTAGGGAAGGCGTCTGCACCTCACCTTGGGATAACGACGACTTGTTTTCCATGTGCAGCTCTGAAACTGATCAGGACAGTGGTGGTGTTAACCATTAGTAGTCGGCACCAATGCAAGGAACGTACTGTATTTCGTGTACTGTTCACATGTGGCCTTATTTACAGAGAAGTTTTGTGTGGCTGGTACGATGATTCTCCTTTTCAGTAACTTTCCCAAGGACTGAAAGCTAGTAAGTGGAAGTGTCTAGATTTGAACCCAGGCAGACTGGTCCAGAGCCTTTGAAGTGAGTAATGGTTTGGGTTGGGATTATAGAAGTCAGAGAGTCTTAGACCCCAGTAGCCACCAGTGAAGACCATTGCCTTTGAGAATTACTTACTCTGTTGATAGACAAGTGGGTAGCTTCACTGTGTCCCCCTGATGCCAGACCTTGCTCGTTCTTCAGAGGCCCTAAAGCCCAAGCAGTGGGGGCCACGGCTTTTGTGTTTTCCCCAAACAGGGTACGAAGTTGTGAAACCTGAGGTCATCTTCAAGTTGGAGCAAGGAGAAGAGCCGTGGATCGGAGATGGGGAAGTCCCAAGTTCAGACGGTCCAGGTGGGTGTGAAAACCAGACAGATGCAGGACGCAGAGACTCAGTCTCAGCTGTCAGTGGGCTTGGGTGAAGTGTGCCCTGGAGGGTCTCTTCCCGACCCCTGCAGCTTTCGTGCTGATTCAGGATAGCCGACGTGGCCTACTCACGTAAGTCACGCTTAGATGTGGCTGCTCTGCTTGTGGCGTAAAGCAGAATATTCCCGGCTTGTCCAGGCCGTGAAGTATTCTGGCTGTCAGGTCTGGGATGTTGACTTCTTGTTTGGTTTTCTGACATATTTAGTGTCCTTTTGTCCTCTGTTCACCTGCTCGTACCTTCAGGAGGTTTCCTTTGCTCTCATTCAGGCATCCGATGCCCAGAGAATTGCCAGGGGAGCAAGGAAGTCCTCCTCATCCCTCCCAAACAGTGGTCCTTTTCCTCCTTTTGTGAGATTGGCCTCTGCTCTACTTCTCCTGTAGATTAGACACCATGGAGCACCTCAAATGTTCTCTCTTCACATTCTTATTATTTCAGACTCTTGCCTTTGGAAACTATCTTAACTTCTCAAGTGACACTTGAAACTAGGCGCATGATGTCTCATTCCTGAATTTTCCAAATTGCTCGATGGGTCTAGAGTCTTACTTTTTTTTTTTTTTTTTAAGTTTTTTTATTTATTCATTTGACAGATAGAGATCACAAGTAGGCAGAGAGACAGGCAGAGAGAGAGGAGGAGGCAGGCTCCCCGCTGAGCAGAGAGCCCAATGCGGGGCTGGATCCCAGGACCCTGGGATCATGACCTGAGCCGAAGGCAGAGGCTTTAACCCACTGAGCTACCCAGGCGCCCCCAGAGTCTTACCTTTTATAAGTGTTCTCAAATGATACCATGAATTTCAGTTCCTAAAGCAGCCAGCCGTCTCTGATCCGTTTTCCGGCCCTACTCATCTGCTAAGTGATGTTGTTTCAGGCTCCCTCGAAAGTAGACCCTGAGATTACATGTCTGACTGCCATGAGTTTACGTGATGGGAGAAAGAGCAGCGAGATGGGGGAGAAGGAATGGCAGTGTGTGTGGTGGAAGGGGTGTGACCCATGGTGGCTGTTGGGAGCCCCATGGGGCCAGGAAGCTGGTCACGCTCTAACTCCCACCTCTCCGGGCTTGAGCATTGCCTTGGGGGTGTTTAACTCCCCAGAACGTCCAGAATCCCTGCATACAGACCCAGCGTGCCGTGTGGCTTGAGGATTGTTTCGGGCAGAGGGATGTGGGTCCCTGGGGTAGGCCCCACAGTCTGCCCGAGGTGCTGGTCCCTCTGAATGTAGCTGAGGTGGCAGGAGTGTCTGCTGCAACCTGTGGCCTCTTCCTCCCGATCTCCCCGGTCTGAGTCTGGCGGGCTGTCAGCTGGTTATCCCTTCCCCCAGTTCATGACCAAATCCATTCAAACGTTTCTGTTTTGGGTGTAATATTTCTTCTCTGCATCTGAATGTTTGGTTGTGCTTTATCTTAGTCTTTTCTGCATTAGCTCTGTTTCTGCTGCATTCATGCTCACGGAATGATCCTTGACTCTTCCAGCTAAATTTTTCTCATTTTTTTTTGGAATTCGCATCCCAGACCTGATCACAGTGCATGGGATGTTCTTGAGCTGGTTGGTCCTGGGGCTGTGTGCGCGCATAAACACAAGGCTTACAGTTTCTATCCACTTACGTGTCACAATATTTATGCAATAAGCCCATTGTTTTAATTCAGGTGCTTTTAGCCAGGTGTGCATTGGATTACCTGGGCATTTTTTTCCAACAGTAAATGTTATGGATCCATTACTGGTAAAATTGATTCAGTACAGTGGTGTAAGTGTAGTTTTTAAAATGGAGTATTCTAGAGCTGGAGTTTGTAGTTTGAGGAACCTCTTGTGATTCTTATGCGCCCCTCATTCATTGATAGCCTCCATTTGAATGACGACTAAAGATGATTGGAAATAAAAGACCTAGAAAACACCTTAGAGAAGCGTAGAAATGAGTTAAGAAGTTAAGATATTTATGTTTATTTTATTATTATTTATAAAGATTTTATTTATTTGTCAGAGAGCGAGCGAGCACAGTCAGACAGAGTAGTAGGCAGAGGCAGAGGGAGAAGCAGGCTCCCTGCCGAACAAGGAGCCTGGTGCGGGACTCGATCCCAGGACCCTGGGATCATGACCTGAGCTGAAGGCAGAGGATGAACCCACTGAGCCACCCAGGCACCCCTTGTTTTTTTTTTTTTTTTTTAATTCAGCGTTTAAACATTGAACATTTATGCTTCACTTCAGTGCAGTGCACTTGTAGTCTAAGTTCACTATACAAGGCCTATGTGTCAGGGTCCTCAAGACCACTGCCACATTTAGAGAGCTGTGAGGAGAACTCAGGATATCGTCCATATGGCTAGGACTTCTTTTTTTTTTTTAAAGATTTTTTTTATTTATTTGACAGAGAGCACAAGTAGGCAGAGAAGCAGGCAGAGAGAGAGAGAGGAGGAAGCAGGCTCCCCGAAGAGCAGAGAGCCAGATGTGGGGCTCGATCCCAGGACTCTGGGATCATGACCTGAGCCGAAGGCAGAGGCTTTAACCCACTGAGCCACCCAGGCGCCCCTGGCTAGGACTTCTTAACAGCAACATAATGACAGCTTCCTCATCAGCGAAAGAGCACAAACAGAGGCTGGAGGAATCCGGGGGCAGGTGTCCTGTGCTGCTCCCTCATTGAGGGTCACCCCAACAATGAAAGTGCAGTAATGTGTGTAGTGTTTCTGCACAGGGAAGCTCACTAAAGACCCAGCACCTGGGGACCTCTGTCTGGCACACAGCAGCATTGCAGACTCCTAGGACAGCAGGTGCTCAGCACAGGGAGCCCCTGTTATATCAGCTGGGGAGTGGTGGGCACACTCCAGAAACCAGGCTCCCAGATGGCAGCCAAGGGCTACCCTGCAAGTAGCCATGTACCATAGAATGTTGAAGAGAGAGTGATGTCTCTTATTCTTCAGGTATTGTGCTGGGTGGTGTGGGTTCCTTAGTGAGCATTGGAGATCAGTTCCCTGCCTGTGCAGGGCTTACTTTCTCCTGGGAGGACAAAAGAAATCAAGTTGGAATAACCAGGGTAAAGCCCAGACCCTGAAAGTTCGATCATAGACGTAAATTAGGTAGATGATAATAGGGTAGAGGATTTGTTGCTCTCCTTAGGCTGCCGTAACAAAATACCACAGACAGATAAATAGCAGAAAGCTGTTGGCACAATTCTGGAGGCCAGGGTCAAGGCACCTGTGTGATTGGGTTCTGATGAACGTGGTCGTGCTGGCTTGTGCATAGCTGCCTTGTGGCCTTGTGGCTTTGCCCTCATGTTGCCTTGATTCATTTGTGCAAGGGGTGGGGATGAGGTCTGCACTGGTGTTTCTGATAAGGATACTATTCTTTTGGATCTGGGCCCCACCCCTTGTTCTCATTTAGCCTTAATTCCTTTGAGATCCCATTTCCAAATACAGCCACACTGATGATTAGGGCTTCAACATAGAGGTTTGGGGGTCAGGGGAGGGGTTAAGGGGGCTGCACAAACATTCAGTGCACAACACAGTCATGTGGAGAAGCCAGTTCTAGACACGAAGACCAAAATGAGTGAGCTGCGTGAATTGGGGGAAAGTGTTCCCTGAAGGAATGACAAATATGAATCTATTAGGTCAGGAAGGGACTTGGTGACTTCAGGACAACAGAAAGGAAGCCTTTCTGTTTAGGGGTCTGTGTGCCAGGGAGATAGAGGCTGTGCTATGTGCGAGACCTAGGTCATACATTGACTTGTAAGCAGTAAGAAGGTGGTTAGGTTGATTCAAGTAATTTTAAATTTAAAAAAGTAATTTAAAAAATAAATAAAAATTTTACATTTTCTAAAAAGATTTTATTTATTTGAGAGAGAGAGAGAGAGAGAGCGCACGTGCGCACAAGCAAGGGGACGGGTAGAGGGAGAGAGAGAAGCAGACTTCTCACTGAACAGGGAGCCTGATGTGGGGCTTGATCCCAGAAATGTGGGTTCATGACCTGAGCTGATGATGCTTAACCAACTGAGCCACCCATGTGCCCTGATTTACATGTTTTGTTTTGTTTTTTAAAGATTTGTTTATTTGGGGCGCCTGGGTGGCTCAGTGGGTTGAAGCCTCTGCCTTCGGCTCAGGTCGTGATCCCAGGGTCCTGGGATCGAGCCCCGCATCAGGCCCTCTGCTCAGCAAGGAACTTGCATCCCTTCCTCTCTCTCTGCCTGCCTCTCTGCCAACTTGTGATCTCTGTCTGGTAAAAAAAAAAAAAAAAAAAATTTATATATATATATATATATACATATATATATATATATATATATATATATATAAAGATTTGTTTATTTGAGAGAGCATGCGTGCAGATGGAGGGGAGGGCAGAGGGAGTTGGGGAGGGAGACAGACCCCCCCTCCCCGGTCCCACGACCCTGAGATCATGACTTGAGCTGAAAACAAGAGTTGGGCACTTAGCCAACTCAGCCACCCAGGCTCAGATTTACATTTTTAAAAGTTTGACCTGAGTACATTGTGGAAAATGTAATGGGAAGCAGGGAAACCAGGTGGAAGGATATTTCACTGAGAAAAGTGGAGAGAGTTGGGGTATCTGGGATATACCACAAATGACCAACCATAAAGCAGTCCCATTTTTCTAGTGAGAAAAAAGTAAAAATTTCCAAATGTGTACTTAGTCTAACAATGTAATATTTAAAGTAATGCAAAGTTGTAAGTTTAATTTACAAAGACTTCATTTTCTGCTCTCACATTTCCTATGACCACTTTATTCAGACTCTTAACCTCCATCTCAAAACTAATATTTCTATACTAGACTCTGATTTTAACCACCAGACCTCTTTTTCCCTCATCCCCTATCTTAGGGTATTTTCAGTGAAAGAACACATGGGTCTTAAGGTTTTGTGCCTGAACAGATTAAATGAAGGATGATGCATTCCATGAAATGGCTGTCTTGGTAATAATATTGAAAATGTGCTTAGAAAGTTTCAAAATTCTAGAGAATTTAAAAATGGGGGAAAGTTCACAAACGATTTCTCATTCTTCAAGCTTGTAATGGCTTCAGTAGTTCCTCTATCAATCCTGTTAATTTTCTGTCTTCTTCATTAGAATGCAAACTTCACAAGGTCAGGGGCTGACTGTTTCCTGTCCCCAGGGCCTCACACAGGGTGGAGGAAATCCTGTCCTCAGAATATTGGATCAGTCTTTCTACCCTCCTTTCTTGGTTCCTCCTTGCTCTTGATGAATTTTTTACATTTTCTCTCCATTTTATAAACTTACATTTGACAAAACCAGAGGTGACTTACTATACTGCCTGTATCTTATTCCTTTTTATAGAATTTTCTTTTCTTTTTTTCCCCCTTACCTGGATAGATCTTATGCTAGGGACTGAGAGACAACCTTCTGAAGTGTTCATCCCTTCAAATAGTGTTGCTAGTTTTGTATTCTGTAAACACAGCCATAGAAGAGGCACTGGGGGAGCTCAGTCCGTGGAGTGTCTGCCTCTTGGTTTTGGCTGAGGTCATGATCTCAGAGTCATAGGACTGAGCCCTGTGTTTGGGCTCCAGGCTTCGTGGGAAGTCTGCTTGAGATTCTCTCCCTCTGCCTTTCCCCCTACTTTCATGCCCACTCTCTCTGAAATTGATTAATAACCCAAGAAAAACCCAACTATGGAAGCATTCACAGGCTTTTCTTTCTTTATAGAACAAGTTTTGCAAGTAAATGGTCACATGACATGGCAGCAGGATAACCAAGAGAAGCTTAGAAATATGAAACAAGATCATGAATGTGATGCATTTGGGAAAAAATTCAATCTGAGCATGAACTTTGTTCCGTTAAGGAAATCAAACAGTGAAGATGATGTAGATGGATTACTTTTAAAACATCACTTAGATTTACTTATTCCAAAAGCAGATTATGGAAAAACGGAAGCAGCTGGCTTAAGTGTATTTGATAAGTTGTTTCTCCATCCCAAACCTGAGGAAACTGATAATTGGTTAAAATACTATGAATATGATAAATATGATAAAATTAACTCTAAGAAGTCACAGATTATCATATATCATAGAAACCGTTTAGGGGAGAAACTCTATGAGTGCAGTGAATGTAGGAAACGCTTCAATAAGAAATCAAGTCTCATTAAACATCAGAGCAGACATATAAGAGAGATCGCCTATGGCTGTGGTAACTGTGGCAAAACCTTTCCCCAGAAGTCACAGTTTATTACGCATCACAGAACTCATACAGGAGAGAAACCTTATGATTGTGGCCAGTGTGGGAAGGCCTTCTCCCAGAAGTCGCAGCTCACATCCCATCAGAGAACACACACAGGAGAGAAACCATATGAATGTGGTGAATGTGGGAAAGCCTTCTCCCGGAAGTCACATCTCATCTCACACTGGAGGACACACACAGGTGAAAAACCCTATGGGTGCAACGAATGTGGGAGGGCCTTTAGTGAGAAGTCAAATCTTATTAATCATCAGAGAATTCATACAGGAGAGAAACCTTTTGAATGCAGAGAATGTGGGAGAGCTTTCAGCAGGAAGTCACAGCTCGTTACACATCACAGGACTCACACAGGAACAAAACCCTATGGATGTAGTGATTGCAGAAAAGCCTTCTTTGAGAAGTCAGAGCTCGTTAGACATCAGACAATTCATACTGGAGAGAAGCCCTACGAATGCAGCGAATGTCAGAAAGCCTTCAGAGAGCGGTCGAGTCTCATTAACCACCAGAGAACTCACACAGGAGAGAAGCCTCATGTGTGCATTCAGTGTGGGAAAGCCTTCTCCCAGAAGTCACATCTCATATCCCATCAGATGACACACACAGGAGAGAAACCCTTTGTATGCAGTAAATGCGGGAAAGCCTTCAGCAGGAAATCTCAGCTTGTTAGACATCAGAGAACTCACACAGGAGAAAAGCCCTATGAATGCAGTGAATGTGGGAAGGCTTTCAGTGAAAAATTAAGCCTTACTAATCATCAGAGAATTCATACAGGAGAGAAGCCCTATGTGTGCAGCGAGTGTGGGAAAGCCTTTTGTCAGAAGTCCCATCTCATATCCCATCAGAGGACTCACACAGGAGAGAAACCCTATGAATGCACTGAATGTGGGAAAGCCTTTGGTGAGAAGTCAAGTCTTGCAACTCACCAGAGAACTCATACGGGAGAAAAACCGTATGGGTGCAGGGACTGTGAAAAATCCTTCTCCCAGAAGTCACAGCTGAATACTCACCAGAGAATCCACACAGGAGAGAAACCCTACGAATGCAGTCTTTGTAGGAAAGCTTTCTTTGAGAAATCGGAACTAATTAGACATCAAAGAACTCATACAGGAGAAAAACCATACAAATGCAGCGAGTGTGGGAAAGCCTTCAGGGAGAAGTCAAGCCTCATCAATCATCAGAGAACACACACAGGTGAGAAACCCTTTGAGTGCGGCGCATGTGGCAAAGCCTTTTCTCGGAAATCACACCTAATACCACATCAGAGGACACACACCGGGGAGAAGCCCTACGGCTGCAGCGAATGTAGGAAAGCCTTCTCTCAGAAGTCACAGCTTGTTAATCACCAGAGAATACACACAGGAGAGAAGCCGTACCAGTGCCATGAATGTGCGAAAGCCTTCTCCCAAAAGTCACAGCTCATTAATCACCAGAGGACTCATACAGCGAAGAAATCCTAGGACTGGGGTTACTGCTACTCTGACAGAGCTCTCGGCTCTTTGTACTTCAGAAAATGCAGTTAGGGTAAACCTTTCAGATAAATAGTCGCATCACATTTTACGTCTGTCTGGGTAATCTTTTAGGGTAGGAACTCTGAGGTTATGTAGGGAGAGCTTTGAGCAGGTTAACCTGTTTGTGTAAGAACCCTGAGAGTAGAATGAACCTGTGAGATGCAGTGACTTTCAAAACCCTGTCAGACACACAGTGGGAAATGAAAAGCAATGAGGAGTACTGTGAACATCAGGAAGCCTTGCAGAGGTGACACCTCATTTGCTGTTGGGAAATACCCTCACTGAGGTAAACCCTAGTCCAGTAAATGAAGAATAACCCCATGAATGCAGCAAGTAATGTCCTGTTTTCATCAAGGAGTCACAGGTCATTGTACATTAAGAAAATACTCTCAGGAATGAAGCTCAGTGGAAATGCTAAATGTGGGACAATCTTCATCAGGTAATCCAACCATATTGTATTTGGGGGGAATTCATAATGTGGGTCAGACTAACAATTTAAAGACCTTGGAAACGTGCCCCTAGAAATAAGGCTATAAAGGGAAGCCATGCATTTTTTAATAGGTGGGGTTATCAGAAATGCCCAATTCTAATGGTTGATGTGTTCACTCTGAAGAATGAAGTTTTTAAAAATGTGTGAATAAATGAAGTCATTGAAGCATCTGAATAAGACACTTCTCAGTGGTACTTATGGCTTATTTTCCTGTGTTACACAGTGTGTGTCATATTTTGGAATCACATGTGTAAATGTAATTGCGAGCATGAAATGCACATACCATACCTGGTAGTGCCTCTGATGTCAGGACATACTGCGTGCTGCTGGTATTTCTGTTTCACTGATACAGTAAAAAGAGCAATTGATACAACACCTCTTACTGCTAATATGCAGCTTAAGTGATAGCACCACATCCTTTTTCCTTATGGCTTGTTGGCATATAAAAGGGGTCTGTTGTTGCTGACCTTTCTCTTCAGTTATGAAAGGCAACATTGTATAAATATGTTTGCAATCTGAGAGAATTTATATAAATTCTGGTTAATAAGTATTCAAAGGCAGGAACCACAGCCTAGCAATAGTGACTCATGAATGAACAGAAGAAAGCAGGTGTGTGAACTCTATCACTCAGCTCTGACTCAAGCTAAATGGCAGTCATGCTATGCACAGTCTTGTTCCCATTCATCTTGGCACCCCTGTGCATCAAGTAGATGTACTTAAATACAGTGTGTATGTTACTTCACTCTGAAGAAATATCATGATGCTGTGTGCTGTTACATTTTTGGTGTTTCTTAAAATATCTTGTAAAAAAAACTAGCTGGAGAAGCCAATTTAAGAGTCACTGTTCAGAAAATGTAAAATACAGATTCTTGTGGTGAGAAAAATATTTTTGGTGTATTCAAGGAAGCCTGCTTTGCCTTCCTATGAATTTCTGTGACTACTGGATTGGTATTAAGAAATAGGATTTTCACTGTTGCATCATTTGAAATATCTGTGTTTCTCCTTTCGTCACCAGTTGCACCCTCTAATGGAGACTCCTGCTGTGAACCTTTCATGACCAGTAGGGTTTGCTTTGGCAGTGCATGACCCATCCCTTAGCTTAGGTAGAACTCTGCAGTGATCTTTACAATGTTCCTTGACAAAGTCAACAGTATTCTGTATATGATGGTGAAATTCAGAGAAATCCAGCCCTGACCTTGTTATCAGGCTTGGAAAAAATCAAGACTTCTCTCATATACAAGTTGCTTTATTAGTATGGTGTCTTGCACTTTTGATTCTAGCAGTATTTTTTTCCTTTAGTTGCCAATTTTAACATCATTGTTGAAAATTGGGACTTAAAGAGTAATTCTCTAAACCACCGTACCAGGTTAAAAGTATCTAAGTTCTCAAGTTTGTATTCATTCTCAAATGTATGGACTTCCTACTTTTCTGCATAATACCTGAAGGTGATTTTTTTAAAGATTTTATTTATTTGACAGACTGAGATCACAAGTAAGCAGAGAGGCCGGCCGAGAGAGGAGGAAGCAGGCTTCCTGCTGAGCAGAGAGCCCAATGCAGGGCTCGATCCCAGGACTCTGGGATCATGACCTGAGCTGAAGGCAGAGGCTTTAACCCACTGGGCCACCCAGGCGCCCCCCTGAAAATGATTTTTATCAACTTCATTTGTAAGACAGTAGTGACAGAGTGATGTCTTATTTTGTAGATTTTCCCATTGTTAAATTTCTATCCATCATGATTCTCTTTACTAGTCCCAGAGGTTGATTCATTAGTTCTTGGATTGAGCTTGGAGTCTGTTGTCTAAAAGTGACCTAATTTTGCTCTCTTTAACTCTAGATGATTCCATTTACTATTAAGCAGTTAAACCCAGTACTTTCCTCACTAAATAATAGAGCTTTGGCACTAGCCCATTGATCTAATACCCAAAAGCAGGTTTTTTCCCTTAGTGCCAGTTACCAGTCATCCGAAGGGCTAATGCTGGCGGCAGAGGTCTCGTTTATCAGAATGCCTTCTGTGGAGGCCCAGCTATGTTGTGTAGAGCTCACTAGGGACTCTTTCTGAAGTCACAAGGGTTTTGATTCTGAAATTAGATATTTCTAGTGTCTATCTTTTAAATTACCTTGATAAACCATAAAAAACATATGACCCCACATTTCCGCTCATTGGTTCCTGCCACAAATCCCACCCGAAGAAGAAAACTGATTTTATAGAGGGATTTACATGTAGCTTCCTGGTGCACAATAGGTTATGTTGGTTGAATGTGTAAGGAGACCAGGGGGAAGGAGCATCCCCACCCAAGTTCCCCCACTGGCCTGGAGACAGTCCTTCAGAGGACAATTCCTACTGCATTCCTTTTACTAAATAAAGTCTGAGTTTTGGGACCTGTCCCAGGAGGGCCATCTGTTCAGCGTTTCTCTGTGGGCTTTGGTAATCAGACATAGTTACCTCTGTGTGGGTATGTGTGCTGGACATTTTGATTTCAAGATCAACCCTTGTAGAGCCCGAGAAGGAAACCCAAAGAATATCCAGTTTATCCAGCAATACCTGTATCAAAAAGCAGAATGCAGATCAGTGGAGATTTGGAATCTCCATTGGAGGCTCTCTCATTGGCCCCTTATTCTAGCAATATGCTCGGGTGGTCGATTTCGCCAAACTCCTGAGTCTGCAAATACTGTACCCACAAGCTGGTCTGGCCCAAGTGCGGACACGCTCACCCTCACCATGACGCTTGTCCATTTCCCACACTTAGTAATTACTTCAAGATGCAATTCTGATTATGCACTCCTCTGTTGAAATACTGTGCGGCTAATTGTGGACTTAAAGTGGACTGGCCTCATGGTAGATGAGGACTTCTACACAAACCCAGCCTGTTATTTCTGAATATCTGTCCTCCTACACAGTACTTTTTTGGCCTCCTCAAACTACTTGCAGTTCCTTGAGGTTTCTATGGTTTCGCGAAGCTTTTCGCCAGTCTTCTGTCCCTGAAATGCCTGTGTTCCTTTTTAATGCCTGTTCACACTTTATGAACCCGTACACATGTCTTCTCACTGTGATAATATAACTATCACATGTCTCTTCCATTAGAAAGCTTCTGGAAAGCTGGGACTACCTTCTTTGTATAGTTTTAACAACTGAAGCTGTGACATACAAGCGTGGGTGCTCTTGGTGTCTTCCCCCCCATGTGGGGAAGCATTGTCTACAGAGAGACAAGAATGAAGCCATGGAAACTCGTGCTCCAAGAGCTGCTGCTTCTGGTCTTGATGTCCAGGTTCACCTCTCCTGCCCTTTTCATGCCTTGGTTGTTGCATTCTGTGAGATATTCCAAATATCCTTGTAATAAATTCTGATGTTAGCTTTGACTGGTTCAGGTTGTGTTTTTCTTACAGCCCAGCTGTTCCTTGCACAGGAGGTTGGGCTGTGTCATGACTCGGACTCTCTGGGAGCGGATCCGGACATGAGGTTTGGAATGCAAGTGCTTGTTGAGGACCCGCTGCCGTGAGGTGAAGGAAGGGTAGTGGGTCAGGGGAAGAGGGGAGGTGGCACAGAGGTGGTAGAGACGCTTGCCACGTCGGTAGGGGGCTCTGAAGCTAGTGCAGCTCAGGAGTGTCTCATGTTGGGCCCAGATAGGCAGGTCTCTGCAGCCCTGAGGCGCTCTGTCCCTGGAGGCCTGCTGCCCTGGGAAGGGGATCGCCCCATGTCAGGCAGTTCTTTTCAGCTGGGGCCAGCTCCACAGAAGCCGGCAATGGGAGCGGGCCACTCTCCCTGCCACTGGGCATTAAGTCCTTCCTTGAGGAGGGTTGGGCAGCCCACCTCTGTCACCACAGTCCGACCCTTCCACTCCTGAGCACTTTCCCAGTGTTGGGTCTGTCTGGGGAGAGCCTGAGGAAACCGGCTATTAGGACCAACTGGCCCCTACTGGTGCTGTTCTCTCTCACCTGGGAGCCATTCTGGGACCTCTGCTGGCTCGGTGGCTCACCTCCTTCCTGAGGGGTCTGAGCCATGGTTACCATGGCCTGCCCTGACCCAAGGTGATGGTAAATTCAAGCAGCACCTGTGCAGATCACCAGAATCCATTCTTTCCTCCTCTCCCTGTTGTGTAAGTAGCCCTGCACCCTCTTCCTTGTGACGCCTCGGGAAGCCCTACAGAAAGAGGGACTCCTGGACACGTGGAGCACATTGCCCACGTGGTACCTGTAGCTGGCAATTAACTGGAAAATTTGCTGTCTCCTGGTGAAAAGTTCTTCTCTTTGGGGATCAAGACCTGTAATGCTGCAGAGCCCAGAGTTATGGGTATGGGAAGCACAAAGTCCCTGGAGGTAATTATTGGTAATGGTGGTGGTATACAGACCCGTGTCTTCCGCTCTGGGGACACAGCACCGCAGGTCTTATCTGGCTCACAAGCTGCGTTTGGAAGGACGGCACCCTGTCCCTACAGAGTACCCCTTTGGAGGTGGGCACGCGCTGTACCCTTGTGAGGCCATTCCAGCGCGCTGCGGAAGGTGAGCTATGTAACATAGCCGGTGAGGCCTTTCGTGGTGGGCATGTTCCCCCCCACCCCCCACTTTGCGGCAGTTGTTCTGGCCTGAGACAGTGTATGAGAGGTCCTATCCTGTTCATTTTGTAAGTGACCTCCCCCCGCCCCCTGCGCTTTTTAAAAGATTTTTATTTGAGGGAGAGAGAGCACACAAGCAGGGGGAGCAGCAGCAGGACAAGCAGGCTCCCTGCTGAGCCAAAAGCCTGATGTGGGGCTCCATCCCAGGACCCTGAGATCATGACCTGAGCCGAAGGTGGATGCTTCAGCTGAGCCACCCAGGCGCCCCTGTTTCGTCATCTTTGGATAGTGGTGCTGGCCTAGGAACTGTGGGCAAGAAAGAAAACCCCTACCTGGGTTATGCTTTCTATTGTGAGAATGGTGGCCTTTTAGGCCAAAATGGTCAACTTGACACCAAGTCCCAGGGAACGGTGCTGTACTGGGGGCTCAGCTCTGCTTCCCTTGTTTTGGGCATTCACTAACGACAGCAGAAAAATCAGCCCCTGTGAGAAAGGGTCTGTGCTGTTGGGCAGATTGGCGTTCTTGGCGATGAGATTAACCCCTGCGCTGGATCCCTGGTCTTCGGCTGAGGGTCGCCGTAGTGGGGAAGGCAAGAGGGAGGCCTCTGACGACGTACTTCCAGAGAGGA